ATTTATTGATGTATTTTACTTTCGAAAGTAACCTAGTAGACCTCCTTCTGTAATAGTGATGATATATTTTACTTACTTTCAGTAATAGTAATACCGTATTTTCACTTGAAAACATATCGGCATGTTTTCATAGATAAATTGTTGTATCGGCTATATAAGCGCAATAGTTTAATTTTTGCTATGCACTGGTTCAAATAAACTTTCCACAAACTACAAAATTTAAGTCTTAGGCCTTTCACAGCTATTTAAACGTATGATTTATAAAGTAATATATAATAAGCGCTCGTCATTAGTATAAATTAGTAGCGAAAACTTTCACATCTATCACATACCTCGGGCGTCATGCGACTCTACGCCAATATTGAAACGAAGAATGAATATGATTCATTATTTTTTATCTGATTATATTTTAGACACAAACTGATAATTATGCAATAAATAAATGAATATGAAATAACTTTATACATTTCTTAAAACCTTAAAAATTGTCACAAGCGATGTGAGCCTTAATGTTTGGCTCTTCATGGCTGGTATAAAATAATATTAACTGAATGTTTAAGCCCATTATTCGATTTCTGACAGATTTTCTATATTCAAAAGTCAAGCTCAATAAATTAGATTTTTTTTAAATAGTTGATATTGCATTTATCCGCGAATTTTTATTCGACATTTTACACGCTCTCTTTATTTGTCCATTCTGTACTATTTTGGAAAGCATCAACAATTGTGTGCCATATATAGTTCGCAGCATATTAATTTTTATGAGAAATAATCAAGACTGACACTGACAATGAGAATGAATGGCTTGATTCACTTTCACAGTTGGAATATTTTTGTTTTGAAATCATTTCACTATAGTTCATTTCTTGGTTCTATCATGTTTCAAAAAAAAAGAGTTGAAGTTGAGGAAGAAGAAGATACAAAATATTAGAAAACCAAAACAAAAACATTTAACACGCAAAAATTATAAATTGACGTGGGAATTGTGTAGAGTTATAATGATCAAAGATAAAATAAAGACCTAGATCATAATATAGTGAAAATACTTCTGATGATTTGAAAATTTAATTGACGGATCACACTTCCCAGGTCAGTTATAGCTTTGAACCAAATTGAAACATTATCAATTGTAACTTAATAATTTCATAATTATTATTTATTTGTGATGTAGCGTGATCATTTACGTTTTGTTACAAATTACTTACCGATAGATTTCTATCAGCTTTCATGTATGACCGGCGAAATCACGTCAAATGAATATCTCTTTTCATTAATCAGTAGTGAAATCAATGAAGCATTGCACTTAAAAAAGTATTTGGTTTAGTAAATAATTTGAAAACGAGGAAATATCATGCTTTTGGGAAATTATAAGTAATATAATGATTATTAACTAAAACGAACGCACTTTGTAGTAGAGATCGCACTCGTGCCATGTAGTTATAAATTATCCGATTGACAAAAAGTATGATATATCTATTTAGTTCTTTGAATTATTAAATATGTATGTTTTAATACTTTTTATATTGTTCGGAAAAAAGTATAATTATACACTGATTCCTGTCGAAAAATGCATAAACAAACAGTATGATGACATTTTAATTACTCTCTTGATTATGTTTTCTGATCAATTACACAATTATATTATGTTTTCTTAAAATTCTCTATTTTTACTCGTATGTTATAACATTAAAACAAGATTAACAGCTTCAATAGCCTTTCACTTATAGTGGGTTGATATTCTATTATTATTCATACCAGTTCGCCACAAAAACATTTATGGATTTGTAGAACATTGTTTATTTGAATTATCATTTGTAGGACATTTGTAGGAAATGTATTTAATCATTCACATATTTAACTTTTTGATCATTTATTATTTATTGAAATAGTGAAAAATTATTATTTTCAACGATTTTTGTGAGATTTCAGTGATCTTAATTGATCTAATTGGTTTCAAATAAATCAATCAGTATCTACATTATATTTCATTTATTCTTTTATGCTTTTACTTATCATCTCGGAGAAATATATCATATTATTTTACGTTAAATTTAGGTAATTATTCAGTAATTTATATTTGTTTAATTCATTTTTTATGGATGTATCCTTTCCTTTTGATGTATTCATTTGCTCTTATTTTTAATCTTCATCTTGACCATTTTCAACTATTTGATAGATGCTTTCTCGCTCATTAACACGAGGCCTCAGATTTTCCTATTCATTATTTCTGGAGTAAAATCACAAAATTGTGCAAATTCAAGATATGAAGTAACAATTCATGCACAATTATGAGAATAAATGAAGTTCGAACTCGGAACGAATTCCTGGTGTAGAAAATCGTGCCGATCCCAGTCGTAAGATATCAATACCGGAATGCAAAAAGGAAAATTCTATTTACGTGTAACTCGATTATGTGGAACACGTAAATCTTAGATAATAATATAATAATAACGGTCATGGCCGCAGAGACTGTCGGTTCAACGTTTTCTCCGCTAATGAATGCCAACTGCATGCAGAGAATTGCTGCAACATTGCATCGATTCGACATTAATCAGGACGGTGAAAGATTTATTTCTTATAAATTGATTGTTTTACTAAAATGTAGATAATTAATTATGCGCCCACGTCCCACGTCGTATCTTAATGACAAGGCAGAAAAGGAAACTGGATTGCACCTATATTGGAAAAGAGTGTCTTCTGTACGGCATGAACGAAGAAAACATGGAAGTAGTGAAAGAACTTAGATGAGAAGACGAAAGAACTTCAAATTTTAAATTAAAAGCAAATTGCTATCTTGGAACAAAACGACTTATTCCAATACTTGTGGACTTTTGTATTGTCTTTTGGATTCAATTCAGTACAATTTATAACAATAGCATACAGATCTCCCAAATCTCGCCCCTGTTTTGTCATTTCTCTATTTTATTTAACCTTATAAAAATTTAACTAATGGCAATTTTCCAGATTAATCTAATTGGAATCTGTAATGCCCACAAAAATTCAAATCTGAAAAATATGTACATGTCATTTTTCTTGCTGGGGTGTGTGATATAGAAGCTTGCTCTACTATTTATTGCACAGCTTTAATCGTAAGTTGGTATCAAATTAAAGCAATAATATTGTTATATCTTTTGCAAAATCATTCGATTAAATCAAGTAATATATAAAACGGACTTATTCAAATTTGAATAATCTACTGTAAAAATCTTCTGATAATTAGTTGTAGCGTACAAATGATCACATACGATTTTCAAATCGATATCTAATATTGAAATAAAATTAGTTATGGGTCTAATAATATTATATATTAAAACAGATAATTCTACTCAGACTGTTATATGATTCATTTGAAATAAAACGGATATAATGTAATTTTACTCATGTCCATTTTCTTGCCAATATTGACCTGAGGAGATCTTCTCCGGCAGATGTTAAGTTATCGCAAGAAGTCGCGAGTCAACATAACGTTTTCTGGCATATCGTGCTACTATTCATGGCAAATATTGAATAAGTGTACACATAACAGTGTTTTAATATTCTTCATATACATAAAATGTTTTCTGTGCTGTAACCGATTGCTGAAGCACCTACTTTTGTAAAAGAAAATTATGTAAAATTTTATAATTACCCCGCAACTTATTTCCATAAATATTGTCTTATCAATTATTGGCAAATAACATAAAAATGATAACTAATTTTTTCTTTGACTAATTTTTAATAAATCATCGATAACTTTATACGTGGACAATATATTATTGTTTTTTTATTTTACTTGGTAGAATGTTTTTCATATTATAGAGATACAATTTAAAAATATTGGCTAAATTATTGTATAAAATGAGATATTTTATCAACAATTTAATATAAAACTGAATCTTTATAAATTTTTAATTTCTTTATTCTATTAATTGTAAAAAAATTTTATAGGAGCAAGTGAGATATTCAAAGAGAACTTTTTTATTTTTACTAGTGTAAAAATTTTAACTTAATTATTTTATTCAAGTTAAACTTTTACTTATATCTGCATGATGTGTAATGCGCTGCATGAATATACTTTGAATAAATTCATTTGTAATAATATAATTTGATACTGAATGATTTATTTAATAAGATTTATAAAAAGGAAATATAAAATGAAAAACAAAATTTTAATTGCAATACTAAAAGGCGTACAGTCATAAAAATCTGCATTTGAATATTTCCTATTATCTTAAACGGCTAATCGGAAATGGAATGATGCATAGCTGCTTATTTATTTATATTACTTCAATAAAATGCTTTGCAAGTACTATAAACTTCTTAGTAGACCAATTGCGTACGGTTACTGGATACACTGTAACCTGCTTATCGAATCTTCGTCTAATCATCCGGGTTTATTTACATATCGCTAAATCGATCAATTAAGTTAATTTTGAATGATTATCTCATTCTTATCTTTTACGGTATTATTATCCTTCTAAATATATATATTCATTATCATTCTCTTATTTTTTATCTTTTACTTCTCCTTGGGAAAAATCGTTCATGAATGAATCATCTATCTTACGATTAGTACAAATAAAGTTGTAAATGCATTTGTAAAATTCTACTCTATTTTTATAAATTAACCTTACAGCTGTAGGTACTAGTCTATAACAATTGCTTTAAAAAAAAACATTACAAAATTAATTAAAAGCTTTATTTTGCATTAAATATATTCTAGTTTAATTGTTTATTTTGTAATACTGAATTTTAAATTTCTTTTCCAATATGCTTTTGCCTTCTAACGAAAAGGTTTTAAGTTCATTAAGAACTTCGGGCATCTTGATGTCAAGCAATTTTCACTTGAAAATATAGATAATGTTATGTTTCCAAATAGCCGTTCCCCGGCATTGCTTCATTAAGTTGAAAATATTCTGTAGAAAAGCTTCTAAAAAGCTATGGTTAAGAAGTTGTGTAACAACAGCTTATAGATCTCTTAAGTTTTGTTTGCTGTTCTGAAAAACATCTTTCAATATCAGAACTAAATGTTGAAAATCGGGTATTTGGAGTTGTACTATAGTTAGTATAATGGAGGTCATATTCTTCTTGACGTTTTTGTTTGATTATTATTATTCATTATTTTACTGTGTGTTTTTTGCATTTGAACAGTTAGAAAACATTATTTTGAACATGTATAGCATTCACCCTGAACGCGTCAAGCCAAAGGTCAATTCAGTTACTTAATTATTGGATTCTTCAAATCGGTAGGGGGTGATTAATTATATAAGTAAAAAAATTCTTTAATTCAGTGAAATTTCTTTCATATAATCATTGAATGCTGAGACTATCCTATAATAATTTAAGTTTTTCACAAAATCTAACAATACAGAATCATGTACAACAAATAAGTCGTGATAAAGTCGTGTTCATCGGACTGTTGTTCTGTGGACACGTTTCCGTGTGTTTTACAACAGACAACAATCCTTCCAACAGATGCGCGACCCGGCAAGGAGGCATTCGGTGCTGGGATACGCCGTCGTGCTCCGGCAAACAAGGTGCATGGAACTCGAACGAATGAACGCGTGGTAACAATTGCACGCACACACGCACAATCTTTTCTGTTTTGTATGAATTTTATAAAGATATTTTATTTTTGAAGCCTACCTGCTATAACCTGTCTGCAAAAATCCTTCGCCGTTAGGTATCACACTGTATAATCCATATTCAAAGCGGACACTTTGTGCAACACTTTATATTTTGGTTATAAGCACTTGGGCAAATGGTCACACATAACACTTGTTGGATTATCACTTCAGTAAAATATTTTTGGTTTAAAATATATGTTTATACATTGCTTTTTTACACTACCCGAATTCGTTTATGGCCCCGTGGATTGTAAATTGTAACCAACAGATGAGAAAAGCGAGTCGCGGCTTTCGAGAGATCACTTCGGTGCGCTCCGTGGTGATTCGTTTTTACAGTTGACCATCGTCATACCTATACCTGCGTTTTACACCTGTGCGATTACTTGTTTTTAAAACCTGAAGCCACCTTGTGTGCCGGCGCAGCAGGCGCGTTGCGTACGTGCCATCTGAGGCGGAAATGTAATATCAGTTAGCCACTTATTACTGGTTAGGGTTTCATTAATTATTTGTTTTCATTTTACTTTAATAAAAAATAATAGCACAATCTACTGAGATATAATAACTAATAATAAAAACATCTCAGCACACCTACGTATTTTAGGAATCCTCCTATTTATTCTTATCGAAACAAAATAATAAGAGTTTCGCAGATTTACATTATTGTTATTACATAGCAATTATATTTATTTTTAACTTCCTCAAGAAGTTTTATTTTTGTCAGAAAATCTGATTTACTAATGTTATGTTGTCTTGAAGGTTTAAGTAATTTTGAATCGTTTGAGATCAAACTCGATAAGGACTTGCGTTGATTGATTAGCTTCGTCACGATCGGTCGAGCCGTTCTTTTTTTAGAATCAAAGAGCATTATTAAATTAAAAAGTGGAAAATATTTTCTCCACGTTGTAGCCGTTGTAAATCTGATTCGATTATAAAATTCAAAAACTGTTCGAAACATATTTGGGAATCATGCTGATTAGTTTTCAGTAAAGATCGGCCGGGACGTTTTCCCTTAATTAAATGTCAAGAATTTTTTTGACGGTTTTAATAAAAGCGGTGTAATAAATCAAACAAGTTTTACACATAAATATTTTTGCTAAAAAGCAATAAATAAAAACAATTATTTTAATTAGGCAGTATATTTATTTGATTTTGTCTTCAACATTGGTTAATGATATACATATAAGTAACTTTATACATTTCAAATAAAACTTATTTTAAAAAACAATTGGTCAAGTCATTTTTATTTTACAAAATTCAAGCATAATAGCAAAATACAGTAAAAAACATATGCGATTTAAGAATAGATATTTCTTTCTAATTAAGACAAATGCGTTTAATCTTGTGTTAATCACACAGCCATGAAGATGGTACTGCTTGTAACATTAAACATAATTTTTTAAGTTTAACAAAATTTTATTTATTAATTATGCTGTTAATAATAACTTACATAAGCCAGATCATAAAATAAGTCATAAAAAAAATATACATAAGGAATAAAAATGTAGTTGATTCATAATTTTATAATAAACTTTTCAAACAATATCTTATTGAATTTAACAATTCATATATATTTTTGTAGTAAACAATATTTTATCTTTTTGATACATCTAATAAAATCTATTTTAGAGAACATAATTCTTTTATATCATTAGTTCATAGTTTTTTATGTAACAGAACTAAATATCACATTCTACCACTAAGAAATTCCCAAAATATTATAATGACTATTTTTATTGCGCGATAATTGTATTAAATTAAAGAAGCTTAACTTCAAATTATTCCATTTTTGTTTAAATAGAAGGACATAGTATATGTATGTATACTTATTATTTAATTATAATTTATGATGTATATTTTATATTCTATATATCATATACAAAAACATAAGTAAACATAAACATAAGAAGGAGCAAATAATGTTTCATGTAAAATTACAGGTAAGTTTTTTACAGTAGGCACATGCAATAAAAGTTGTAACCTATGTAGTCTATATACATCTATTGCAGTACTGCAGATACATCCCAAATTTTGATTACTCTGTCTTGTCCAACAGTCAATAATTGTTTCCTTGGATCATCTAAATTCATAGCTGTTACACTATGTTTTACATCATGGAAAGTTGCAAGGGAAGGCCTCCTAAAAGCGAAAAGGTTATTTTTGAGTTCTAGTTCTCTTGGATTGTGGTGTCTGTACTCACTCTGTATCTTTAAGCTGGTTATTGCATGGATCACAGACACGAACAGGAAATTCAAAACCCATTACTGGTATAGTTACTCGTCCAACTGAGCATCTATCACATACTGCTTTTCCACAGTGACGACAATGATGTTGTCTTAATCCTAAATAAATAAATTTGATGTAATGCACCAAGTTACTAAAATACCTTTTATGATTATTATTGGGGATAAACCTAGTTGTCTCTGATCCATCATAGCTCGTAGATTCCAAAAGAATGGCCTTGTGCACAGTTGACAAGTATCACTCTCTATCCAATCAGGTGTTTCACGTCGTGGTATGTTCATTTGCCAGCACACAACTACTGAATCTTCACCTCCACTCAGTAAGCACAGTGATGTGCCAGAGTAACATAATGATGTTACTTTATTACTGAAATTAGGCATAATATGAGCATCTCTGTCATACCAGACATTTCATCAAGCAAGATTGACATCTGATGATTGTAAAATTTCTTACTTATGACCCTGAAGTTCATATGCAGTTCCTTGTCTACCTCCAATATCCCAAACTATAACCGTTTGATCAAATGAACCACTAAACAATAATTGTGGAGTTGGAGCCCATGACAATGCCCTAATGCTACCTGTGTGGCCTTTAAGAGTCGTAACGAGTGCAGCTCCTGAATGATCTAGCTTTAACATGATAATTTGGCCACTGTAGTCTCCAATAAATGCATGTTTAGACTGAGAATCAAATCTAATTGTGAAGTCAGAAAAATATACAAAGATGTGCAATTATTGACAAAATTATTAAAATAATAAATTTGAATTCGAAAAGGATACTGCATTGCAGTACACCAGGCTTCGAATGTATATCCTCCCAGTCTTCTTCCTGTTTCCGTACAATGATAAGAAAAAACTTTATCTCTGCCTGCAGATAAAACCCATTCACAGTTAATTGCAAATATAACTTCTGTAACACGAGCTTGATGGGCTAAATATTCCCTGACCTAAAATTGTACAATTTTGCTAACCATATTTTTTGAACAGGAATCTTGAGATTATAATTCTGTATAATATACCATACCATAGTCATTCTATTATAATCATCTTCCAATGTGAATTCTGAGACTGTACCGTTTTCTTGACCTATGAATAATTGCTTTGTTTCTGGTGTGTAAAACATAGATGTGCATCCTGAGGGCATGTACTGGCAAATACTAGGCCAGTATTGTCCGCTATCACGTTTCAACCATACTCTGACAGTTCTGTTGAAAAGAGTCATGCTTATTTGAGCAACAGATTAAATTTCTGGCAAAGTTCAAGGAAAATTAGAAAACTAGTCTTACTTATCATCACAAACGCTAATAACTCCATCTTCTCCAGGTATCAAAACCGCAGCATTAATATCGTCATTGCATCCTTCTAATTTACTTAATAACACAGGTTTTTTGGTAGTACTAAATCTGTCACTTACACTCCTTGGAGCAGGTTTTATTTCAGCAGCCATTATACGCCCAGTGATTTATCAGACCTGCACATTCAATTGGATTTTTTTCTTTATTATACAGTTGTAAGAGCTCCGGTGATTTTAAGCTATTTTACTATTCTTGATGTAAAAGAAACAACAGTTGCGCAAAATATCGAGGGTTATCTGCTGAAAAACCAAAACGTCAAAACGCATTTTGACTTTTCTTCAAATGGTATACCTGGGTGACACCTAGCATTTGTTTATTTTGCAAGTTCAAATGCTGAATGGTAGATGGAGCCATATGACCATACAAAATCTATCAAGACTTTAGCTGTCACTTTTGAAGTATAACTGACATTTGTTCCGCTGAAGTGTTTAAATTCGAATTGTTAACGTTTTTTATCATTTTAATGGTTAATTTGAGTAATAATTGCTTTAGTAAAATTATTATAGTGATATATAAATATATTTAGTTAGGTGTAATTATCGCATATCATGCAACAAACTTGGTAAGTAAAATATTTGATTTACAATTTGTATTTAACTTTAGTTTATTTTTTTATTTCATTGGTTTATTTTCAGTTTATTATTTTATTTTAACAATGTTTTTAAATTTGTGTGTTTTCCTGGTTTAAATTTGTTTATGTGCTGAATGATGGCACAAATACAGTGGCTAAACGTGCATAATCAATTGTTAATTATTTATTGTTTTTTATTTCGACTATTTGACTGCAAGTGAACATTTCAAGAACACATTTTCTTAAAACAAAACATGAACAAAATAATCTAAAATTTTTATATGTAAAATTTATTCTCATGCTTAATAATTCTATCTGATTCTAATCAGACTACTGGGTTCATTCTAATCAGACTACTAGATTTGGACTTTTTTAACTTCCCGTAGGGTAAGTTATTGTAATGGGCCGAAAATCGGAATTGAAAATTGTTACATTTCTCGGCGTTTTGAAGGTTTCTGAACGTTTTGGCATACTTCAGAAAAAATGGATGTGTGTGTGTGTGTATGTATGTATGGATACAAATTTCCAGTCACGTTTTAGGGCGCACGGATCAACCGATTTGAATGGTTCAAAAAACATTCGATTCTTATTGATAGGGAAAAGAGCTGATTAGTTTTTGGCAAAGGCAGGTCCAGCCGTTTCGGAGATACGGAGCAACGAGTGCAGAAAATAGAAATCGACTTTTTGAGAGAACGGAGTATCCGATTTGAATGATCTAAAAAACATTCAATTAGTAATGATTGGGAGAAGTGTTTATTAATTTTTGGCAAAGGCAGGTCCAGCCATTTTGAAGATACGGAGCTAAATATGTAAAAAATGGCAGTTTTTGAGAGAACTAAGCGTCCGATTTAAAAAATATTTTATCGAAAATATTATTTTTAAAATAAATTATTAAAATATTTTTAATTCTGACTATAGTTCTAATATACTTTACAAATAATTTCAACTCTGCAATTCAGTTTATATAATTCTTATAAATATTAGACAATGTTACAATATTTATAATAATCTATTTGAAAACATTCAGTATTCCTCGAACATTTCGTTACGATACGGGAGGTTCCAGCAATTTTCCTTAAGGCACGATGTCATAATTGCCTCAAGACAGAATTCCACTTACAGCTAGTTTACTTCTCTATTTTGTTTAATTTTTACAGAATTATAGATAAAAATTAATATCTACTTCTGGTCGTCATCTGTTATTATAATTGCAATATTACTAGATTTCTTCATCTCCAAAAATACATTATCTTCTCTTCAACATCTTTAATCTTATTTCTGAATCAACCCCTTGAAAATCGCAGAATGATTCATAGATGTCTTCTCCCGAAAATCATATCACTTTCCCTACTTTCGTCGGCCGGCACATCTATCACGCTCTGGCAAGGCCGCACTTTCTCTCCTTTACTCTACGCGCCCGGGATTAGGCCGAACTTGTAACAAACCTAGCATCGCGTTTTTCGAAAGCGAAAGGGACGACTGCAATATAATAAAAATGCATCATACTTACAAAATATGTGAATTTGGTACTAATTGTTCAATTTATTAATGTCTGTTATAAACTTTACTATTTCTTAATCTATTGATTTCAAAAAAATATTATCTCACTGACTTTGTCTACACTTGTTGTACAAATGTTATTTTATTTCATTTTGTTTCTGCTTTATTACATGTAGATGTTATTCAGAAACATAATTAAATTCATCTAGATCATAGGTCCATTGTGGACCTTTTGGGCTTTGCCCTATTTACCTGATATCGATTTTTATTTTATATCATTCTACCTGTACTAAAATTTATTATTACATATATGAATTAAAAATACATTTAACTTTTATACATTTATTAATTGAATTAACTTCGGCAACATTTTGTAAGGTTCAATTTTACATCTACATCTTTTTTTGTTAGGAAATCACATTTTACAACTACCAAATTCTTTTCACCTTTAGTGTCTAGAAATACTATGAGAGTCTCAAAAAGTGCTAAGAATATTGCGACCACATATCGAATTTGCACAACTTATACATTTTTTTTTAAAATATTTTTTTTTTACTTACTTTTTAGTTCTATTTATATAAATTATAAATATAATAATAAGATTATCTATAATAAATTATAGATTTATTAATAAGAAAATAGATATCAACTTTGTGTATTGTGATCCACAAGCGTGGACCATCATTTTCAATTTGTGGTTGTCGTGGACGTGTATATACTTGGCACCGCGATGGTGGAAATTGGCAAAACTGATATGACCTGATTTTTTGACGATTTTTTTGCTGTCGATTGGTGCAAACTAAAATTTTTTTGCTCTTTCCGTTCTCGAGATAAATGGGTGGGGCCAAATTCGGTGCTAACTATATATATAGTCAGCACCGACCCCTTTAAAAATGCAAAAAAATTAAAATTTCTTTTTACTATCGTTATCAGTGATTTTTTTGCTGTCGAATTATGCAATTAATTTTTGGAAAAGTTTTGCCCACCATAGATTTTCACGCATAGGAAAATTCCCATTTTTGCCAATTTAAAAAAATTGACAAATGTGAAAATGCCCAATTTTTTTGCTCGCTTACTTAAATATAAAACAAAAAAAAAATTTCAAAAAATTTATTTTTTCACCCCTTTTCAGAGGGGTTGCCAATTTTTTGGGGTGTCCACAGGTCACTTTTTCAAAAATTTAAAAATTGTTTCGGAATCTGTGATTTTTTTGCTCTGCGATACAAAAAAGAAAAATTCAAAAAAAAATTTTAATTTTGATTTTCGTAGCATAAAAACGAATAGTTTGCGTCCATAAGTACTACGTAGTATACGATGCTTTTCAATTTATTTACTTACCCCAAAACAGAATTAATGAATCAATTAGTCAACAATATTTCAGTAATTTCAGTAAATAAATAATGCGTCTTTGGCCACCCGCCGCCGAGAGACTCTACGGCGTAGAGGTCTCTACGCACTGGGTCTCTCTGATGAGCGAGCGAGTGAGAAGGCTATACGCCATTGTGCGAGTGAGACGGCTATATATATGCACCGCGATTCCTGTTACATTTTAACAAATTTATATAAAAATTGTATGAAACTATTAATTCCTGTCGAGCACATATTTTTGTAAAGGTATTGTTGATGATTTTGTTGGAAAAAAATAACCATATTTAAAGCGGATTGCAATTCGTTTTCATACTACGAAAAAAATCAAAATTAAAACTTATTTTTTTTAATTTTCCTTTTTTGTATCGCAGAGCAAAAAAATCACAGATTCCGAAACAATTTTTAAATTTTTGAAAAAGTGACCCGTGGACACCCCAAAAAATTGGCAACCCCTCTGAAAAGGGGTGAAAAAATAAATTTTTTGAAAATTTTTTTTTTGTTTTATATTTAAGTAAGCGAGCAAAAAAATTGGGCATTTTCACATTTGTCAATTTTTTTAAATTGGCAAAAATGGGAATTTTCCTATGCGTGAAAATCTATGCTGGGCAAAACTTTTCCAAAAATTAATTGCATAATTCGACAGCAAAAAAATCACTGATAACGATAGTAAAAAAAAATTTTAATTTTTTTGCATTTTTAAAGGGGTCGGTGCTGACTATATATATAGTTAGCACCGAATTTGGCCCCACCCATTTATCTCGAAGAACGGAAAAGAGCAAAAAAATTTTAGTTTGCACCAATCGACAGCAAAAAAAATCGTCAAAAAATCAGGTCATATCAGTTTTGCCAATTTCCACCATCGCGGTGCCAAGTATATACACGTTTGTCGTGGACACCTGAGGGTTCATTTTGGACCACTTTCGATCTATATTCTGGGTCATACGTTTCTACCAGTTACTTATTTTTCAAACTAAAATTTTGGCCAAATTTCTTTCAAGAAGAATCATTGATCGAACTTTGACTAATTTCAGTATCTCATTGATAACATATCCGCATCTTTGATACCCGGAGCTTTCAGCGTTTTCCAGGCTAAACCTCCTATCCCGTGTCCGTCCCGGCGTAGCTCAGCTCTCCGAATCCGTGCTACGATATACACGTGTCGATTTACTATGAGCGGCCGTTGAACTCCGCGCGGATCGCACAAATTCTCTTGAATTGTAATGGTGCTGGAAATTTTATCGACCAATAAGAAAGATGGTCTATTGCGCATCAGGATGTAACATTTAATGGGTTACTGATGTTTTTTAGTACTGGATGCGTTGGTTGATAAGACTTACTTGTGTTTAGAGAGTCCAAAAATCTTAGTTTACTTAAAATTGATCATGTATTATTATAGTTGATAATTAAGATGAAATATTTCAGTATATTTCTATGTTCATTCTATAAATAGCACAACCAGATGCATAGGGCCATGTTACACTATTGCACTTTTTGAACTGTTTGCTATAAATGATCCAGGAATTTTAATGCGTTCAATGTATCTTTTTAGATACTCATAGTCATAAATACATCGGTATGAAACTATTCTGGATAGAATCTTCTAAATGCAATTACATAATACATATGCTGTTGATCGTTTGCTGCAGAACATTTTATTTCAAACACACATTAATTGAAAATGTTTTATCTACGCAGAAATATATTGTATAAATAAATCCTTATTATCGATTACTATAAAGGTGCATATAATATTCCACTTGGATGCTTTAGGAGAACTGATATGTATGGTAAGCAGATTAATGACAGAA